CTCTTCTACATCAGAAATCAAAACTGCGAGTGGTGGAAGAGGCCAACGCTGTCATTAACACCCAGCTCTGTCTTTTATATCTGTGAGATATTTTAGGAAGTTAAGACCGAGGCAAAAAGAGGAAACAAAACAAGACTCTTGTTAAAAGCGTGCAGACAGTTTTGAACTGCGAGAAGTCACGATTGCGGTGCCAGCTGGTCTCATGATGCAAATAGTTTGTCGAGCATTTTTTCATTCATCAAGGCTGCGTCTTGCGTATCGTTCCTCCTGGAAATGAATGACCTAAAGTGTTTTTTTCTTTTTTTAAATCCCGTGCTTTAATTGCGGTCATGCCTCTGGTTTCCCTTCAGAACAAATCCAGCAGTTGTCAGGCTGAATTTAGGTCAAACATACAAAGAGAGAAACACTCTTTTACCCCTTGAGGGGGCGTCTGATTCTACCCTGGACATGCCTTCATAAATGATCAATTCAATCAGTATCAAATCAAATCATAACACGAGTCATCTCAGGGCACTCTAAGGTCAAGGCCTTATAATATTACAGAGAGAAACTTAGCTGTTCCCTTTTTTGATTGTCAACAATGGGCTGGAAAAACCCCTTTATAGTTCTAAAAAACCTCCAACAGAACCAGACTCAGGGACATCTGTCTCGAGAGGTTGGGGTGAGAGGTGAGGGAGAAAAGATGGGCCCTGAGAAACAACAAACAAGAAACACAGAGCAGATTGATAGTAACAATAGCTACGAGTCAGAAATGTGCAGAGATACCTGCAGAGAGATGCAGCGAGAGAAAAGACAAAGATGTGCAACAGTAGAATATAAATGCATGGAGAGTCACAGAGAGGAGAATAGAGTAGAGGTGCTCAGTGCATCATGGGAGATTCTCTGACAGTTTAGGCCTTTAGCTGCATAACTAAGTACGACAACCTTTATATCAAAAAGCAACCTTGTAGGCATTAGTAGGTGGAAAAGGTGTCCGCCTCCTGATGCTAAACTGGGAGCTGATTCCACAACAGAGGAGCCTGATGGCTGAAGGTTTTACCTATGATTCTGCTTTTAGAAACTCCAGAAACCGCAAGTAAGCCTGTAGCCTGAGACCAAAGTGCTCTATTGGCATAATGTGGTAACATGAGGTGTTTATGATACTGTAGAGTTTGGTTGTTAAGGGCTTTCTAGGTGAGGAAGAAGATATTAGATCATATTCTGTATTTAACAGGGAGCCAATAAATGTCACATGTGAGAAATATGATCTCACTTGCTGGTTCCTGTCAGTAGTTTAACTGCAGCATTTTTGCTTCAGCTGGAGATTCTTTAGTCAGTTGCTGAGGCAGCCTGATAGTAAGGAATTAATATAGCTATAGCCATAATATATCAAGTGCCCTGTTTGAAGGCCTACTTTCTCTTATTGTAGATCATGTCTCTATCCACTGTCCCTGTTAAGAAAGGCCCAAAACAAACACATAAATACATTTATTTAGCCTAAAAATAACAAATGCATGGACTCGTTTTTTTGGGATCACTCTGGAACAGGATATTTCCAGCCGTCCTAGAGGCTTATGTGTGAGTTAAAGGTCATATTGTTCTGGCTAAAAATAACTCAAAGGTTCCTCATAATAGCACTAGAGGCCAAAGCAATGCCATCCAGAATAACTAAGGGCCAAACACAGTAACTTCAGTTTTGTCTAAATCCAGAAGAAGAAAATTACAGATTATCCAAGTGTTTGTCTTCAAGACATGCTTCAAGTGTGAATTTGTTTCATCGGGGTTGATCAATAAATAAAGCAGGGCGTCATCTGCATAGCAGTAGAAATTGATGTAATATTTCTGAACAATAAGCTTGCATCAAGTAAAAAGTATCGGTCCAACTCCATGACTTCTATGAATTATCTTTTACGTAACTGAAAGGATTCTCGTTAATGAACAAACTGGAGCCTAGAAACCACATCATTGTGATTCCTTTAATCCTCATGAAATGTTATTTCTGTAATAGAGTGTTGTGATGATTAGTTATATGTGCATCACTGAGATGTAGCAGGTAAGTACAGAGACAAGTCCATTGTCTGAGGCTATGAGAAGATCAGACAGACATAACTAGAAATGCATTGATTCAGCTGTACTTGCTGTTGGAGATGATGTAATTAGAGCTTCTGTGTCACAGGGAAGAATACTTAAAACACTCATTTTACTACTTTGATGAAGTATGTAGGGTTGTGGTGTTGTGATGGTTTTGTGAATGAGGTCTTGGAGATTGAGTGTTGGTGAGATGTAGGCGGAAGAAATTTGATATTTTTTATCTGAAGGTTTTTTTTAGCACTGTCATTCTTATCAATGGAGAGATTCTGGGAACTACTGTAAGATGGAGAAATTTGACTCAGCATGACTGTGCACAATAAAGAAAAGACTGCAGTGCAGATACACCGAGCAACAACGAGTCAGTGCAGTTGGATAAAGACAAAGACTTGTTTGACAGAACCGAGGCAGTTTGTCACTGTTGTTTTCCCATTTAAAACAAAAAATAATTCCATAATGTTTTCAAACAACATCATTTCCATTATATGGACCAATGCAGGGGTCAGCTGATGTTGAATGTCAGTAGTCAAGAAGACCAATAACTGATCATTTAAAATCATATATTTGCATACATCTGTGTCAGAAGTCAGAAAAGTACAACCCAACACAAGACATTTTTGAAATGCCTTTAAGTTTTACAGATGTTTAATGTTGCTTGATGTTCCTTGAAGACGTTCCACCTCTCATCCAAGAGGCTTCATCACTTCTGACTGACTAGTTGGGAGTTCCAGATACCTATATCCTTAAGGAGCCATGAACACCTGAGTTTCGGTTTCAATGGGGGCTTTGTTGCTCCTCCCCCTCGTTATGTGAGTTGTTAGTGCTCCCCCTGCCACAATGGGGTTCGTTAGGGTCTTTTGTGGCGAGGTGTGAATGCAGTTTCATCTTCCTGGGGAGAGATCTTAGGACTGAGTTGTAAACAGGTGAGAGGTGATGCCTCAGACCTCCACCTCTGTTGAGTGATGGTCTTTCCAGTTGGACATAGACGGCTTCTTTCACCCCTCTCTCAAACCATCTGTCCTCCTTGGCTGAAATCTGTACGTTATTGTCTTCAAATGAGTGTCCTTTGTCCTTAAGATGCAGGTGGACTGCTGAGTCAGGTGTTATGGATCCTTTAGGATGTAAGTATCTGGAACTCCCAACTAGTCAGTTAGAACTGATGAAGCCTCTTGGATGAGAGGTGAAGTGTCTTCAAGGAACTCTAGCAAGTCCAGTTGCTTTGATTTATCTACTAGAATAACCATGACCTGGATGACTGAGAATCCTCAGACAAGTGCTTTCCAAGGCCTGTATATCATCCACAGCTTTTAGTTTTCTCAGATTAACTTGTTTCTTTGTTCTTGTTGCAGATTCTTTGTGCGAGAACGATCCTCAGGCTACAGGTTACAATCATGAACACTTCCATGACCGACTGTGTGGCGTTCAACAACTAAACACAACCAACACCTGCAGTCCCTCTTTATGTCCCTCCTCGTATCCTGCAGTGAAATGTGTGTCTGCACACGCATGTGAGTACTAAGTAGAAAGCCATTTCTATTTTTGAACAGCAGATGCTTGCAGACATTTACGAGTCATCTTGTTGTTTGTCCTTTCAGGTGCGAGTCATCATGTCTGTGAAGAAAGCTGGGAGGAGATCCAGAGCAAGAAAACCATCAGAGCGGAGAATGAAGTGGAAGCCAACAAACTGGTCAACAACTACCGGGTAAGAAATCTGAGGGTATTCCACTGATCAGAAAAGTGGCTTGAGCACAGGACACTGTCAAACCTAATATTTGGTGTGTGTGTGTGTGTGTGTGTGTTTTTCAGTTTGGTTTTAGAAAATGGAAGAGTCACGTGACAGAGCGGCCGTTTGAAGACCGATCAGAGGTTGTGAAAGAGCTCTACTCTGAACTGAACGTCATTAAACCACATGCAGGTCCAGGTACAGATTGCTGCACTTGTAAAGTTTATGTGGATGAATGATTTTGGTTTATTGCATCTTGGGCCTTACTTGTAGACGTGGTCGTTGTATTTGAATGGTAACAGAGATCATTTCTGAGGAACGCTACAACATACTGGTGGTACAACGATGTCTGACGGGGCAGGAAGTAACTGATGAGGTGATTGTGTTCAGTCACATTGATAAACACTTTATTTTGAGGTCAAACTAAAACGAGATAAGATGAACTTTATTGATACCTCACCAGGGAAATTCACACTTTATAGAAGATAGAGACGAATGCAGCATCCTAAGAAACAAACAGGAAATACAAAAGTAGAGTGAGAATTAAAGATAATGAAAGACCTTAGCATGTGCAGATATGGCATGACAAATAATGTACTCAAATGCAGGACACACATGGTGTGTAGAATTGTACCTAAATTTAGACAGAGTTATAAATTACAGTGCACCATTTCTGTTGTTGCACTTCAAAAGTTATAGAGAAAAGACCAGCATTACATGATGTTATTGTACTTACTGTTCGTCATGTATATGAATGAGAGATAGTGTAATACTAGCACGTTAGCATTAAAGAGCAGCGCTGCACGAAGGTTGAATGTTGAACTGCTGGCGGTTGGTTCGTGGCCATTTTACCTGCCGAGGGAGTTTTCGCACATCCTGGCGATTGCAGTTTACATCCCCCCCCCTCGGCTGATGCTGCTGCAGCTTCTGAACTCATCCATAGTTCAGTGACACAGCTGCAGACATCCTATCCTCAGTCTCTGATCGTCATCTCAGGAGACTTTAATCATACATCGCTCTCTACCACTCTCCCCACATTCATGATGTGGACTGCCCAACCGGAGACGGTGGGGCCTTGGACCTGCTGGGATGCATATTACTGAATTATTGTTATTTTCTTGTACTTTCTTCTATGTTTTTGGATGCTGCTGTTTACAATAATTCCCCAAGTCTGGGATAAATAAAGTATATTCTATTCTATTCTTCTACTTAAAGAACTATGAAAGAAAAAACAACAACAAGCAGACCACAAATGCCACAAATAATCCCTCCTCGGGTATTAATTTTACTGTGCGTCTTAGTTTTATTCTTCCAAATATGTTTAACTAACCTGATTATTTGTTTAAAATATCTCTGTTTTTATTGTTATCAGTTATGTTGTCTTATTCCATTAACTCAGTTATTCAGTTGATGAGTATAGTGTCATTTTTAGACATGAAAATGATCACGATACAAACAGAGAGATCCTAGTCGACTTAAACCAGCATTATCCTAATTATTAAAAGTTACACGAAGAAAACGTGTCACTGTGTCTTTTGTAGAAGCTTCAACTTTTTCCGTTTGTCCCTCTGGTGTCAGGTCAACTCATCACATGTGGAAACGTACTGTACGTGTTCCTTTTTGGATGGTGGGTTTCTCTGGCATACCTCCTGGTCGGCATATTCATGTTCATCACTATTATCGGTGTACCGTATGGTAAGTGAGCTAATCAGTAGAAGACAATGTTAGTAACTGATCATCAGCCAGTGCCCTTTACTCTTTTCTTTTTCCCTGTCTTCAGGAAAGCTTTGCTGGAAGTTGTGTCGCTACTTCCTGTGGCCGTTTGGCAACTCAATCCACGAGGTGCGATTTGGGTTCGGTTGATGTTTGGGACGTTCGTGCTGTTGTCTCTTTTCCTTTTTCTGCACACTGAAACAAGATTGAACACAGTAAATCATGTCGTTTCCTCTTAGTCTCTCACTGACTTGTGGTCATGAAAGGAGAAGTCGTTTTGTGAATAATACCACAAGTCTGCAACATGACAAACCATTTGAAGAAACTCGTTATTGCAAGATGTTAAAGATGGAGCTGAAACTTCGAAGCGGTTGCATCACAGGGACTGCAGCTAACGACGTTTTCCAGCGTTGATCAATCTTTTGATTAGTTGTTTGGTCTGTGAAATGTTATAAAATGTTTACCTTCAATAGCTCCTGAGATATTTTGCATTCAAACACCACCTCAAAATAAAAAAAAAAAAACTTGCTAAAGGTCTCTTTTTTTACAGTACTTGATATATCAATACAAAATTTTACTGATACCATTTTAAATATCCACAATTCATAATGATAAACTGTGAAGCAAATCAGAGACAGTCGAGCAGACGGCCCCCGATGATTTAAGACTGAATTACCCACCAGTGCATTGTTGATTGTGATTATTGTGATTAAAGAGTATTACAAATATTCAATATATGTATTGTTCTGCGTCAGAAATAACACTTTCCTTTGGTTGTTTGTCTTCAGATAGGAAACACGTTGAGGAGATGTTGTGAGCAGGCACCAGACTGTGACTGCAGCTTAGAGGCGATGGACGATAGCTCGCCAGTTCTGCTGCCTTCACCCACTGAGATACCCGTCCCAGAGGTGCCAGGACGACCTGTGCGCACTCCCTACTGGGTAACTGTCCACACTTGCGAAAGTATAAAACATAAATTCAAAAAATACAAAAGCAACATCTGAATCTACTGCGGGTCTAACGAAAACTGTTGGCGTGATATTGGCCAGCATAAATGTATTAACTGCTTTCTTCTACAGTGTTATCTCAAGGTCTTTTCTTGTTGTGCAGCGTCGTTTCTCCACCTATGTGTGGCTGCTGCTGGGATATCCTCCCCTGGTGGTCGTTCACTCTCTGGTCTGCTTCATCTCCTGGATCCTGGTCTTCACCATCCCGGTTTCCAAGATGAACGCTCAGACTCTAGGTGTCATTCTCCTCCTGGCTCCTGAGGATGTCTCCATCTCCAGCAGCTCACGGAGGAAGGTGAACAGAAGATTTAGTAGTTATCAGTCACAGCACATAATCCTGGGAAGACGCTTATGCAACAGCTTCTTTGTTTTACTTGACCCTTAGCATCAAGGCTACGAGTCCAGAGCGCTGCTGTGCTGCTACCACGCTGCAAACTGGTACTACTACAAGTACAC